GAAGGACTCGTCCAAGCAGCCACTGCAGAGTCGGTAACGACTGAGTGCAGATAAAAAAAAAAAATCTGAGCTGCAAGGTGACTACATGACTGCTAGGTGGCAGCAGAGAGAATTGTTTGGAATCTCTTTGCAGTGGTTGTCTCGGGTTTTGCAGCCCAGATATTGTCAGCCTAATTTATAACATGCTCTTAAACTTCCAAATGTGCCCAACAGCCTAAACACAATGAGTATGCCCATCTTAGAGTTTCTGGCAATAGTACCAAAAATGTGACAATATATATTCTACTTTGTTCTTATGTAAGCTCAAATTCTAGCAGGCAGTGCAGAAAAGAAGATAACTGATTCATGATTAATATATTAAACTGTCCAATTAAAGTCAGGAAAGAAATCCTGAGGCTATTTCACAAAGTGGTTTAGCCCAGCACTCTGACATCTGGATCAAACAAAAGACACCCAGTCATTCCCCCAGTATATTTTCCTATTTTCCTAATTTTTTTTTTAAGCCAAGCTGTTTTATGACCATTCTTTTGATCAGTTAAATTTTCATGCACTTTTGACTGATAAGCTTCAATCTTTTCCTTAAATGTCTGAAAATGAGTTTTCAGATTACTTATTACTTTTTCAAAATATCTACAGCATCTGTCTTTCTCACATAAGCAGTGCTGTCAACAATGTGATATAACATTAAAATATTTAGAAAAGAAACAAAAAGGGAAGGAGAAAGATGCCTGGAAATTCATATCATGCACAACTTTGAAAAGTTTTTTTTAATGATGTAAACATCTTGCTTATGATATAAACATCTCATTTCCTCCCACCAAGAAAAAAAAATGCAGCTAATTCAAGTAGTGATAAATAACATGTTAGAGCTGCCATATTTAAGTTGCAAAGATATGGATGGCCACCATGGGGCAGCCAAGAAATATATAAGATTCTAATTCTTTCCTGCCATCTTGTGGACGTTTGAATATTTGTTGCCCCGATATGGTAGCGCTAATATGTCCATTACTGTACAATAAATGAGATGTATTGTGCCCAACCTTGTGCTATTAGAACATTCATTGGTGTAAGGGGAGTGAAAGGCCAGCAGTGTGGACAGGCAGAGGTAGTGTCCATGGGGAGTGGCTGGATTCCCTGGACTTCTTGGAATACTACATAGGAATGCAATGCTGCTGGGGGGGGGGGACATATTTAATTGAAAGCCCACTGTTCCCCTTCAACCACGCAGGTTAAAAGGGTTAAGAGAAAGCCAAGTGCTGTGTTCCAGATGATTTCGTGCAGGTAAGAGAAGAGAACCCAGATCTGTGAGCTGTAACAAAGGCTTCTGGAATTGCACAATATGTATTTCATAGCTAAAGTGAGAAAGATAAGTTGCCTGAAAACAGAATAGATATTACACATTGTTTGGGGGCCATGACTTGTGTTTATAGAGATGCCCTGGGCTTCCTCAGTGCTTCATATCAAACGCTGCATTTTTAGAGGTACATCAAAATGGTCTCACACAAAATTTAGGTGTCAGCCTATTCACAAGCTGGTATAAAAGTGCTAAAGATTATAGATTGTTTTTTTCACATTCCTGTCCTCCATATATTTTTTTGGGTCACAGAAACATGGCATAAGGTTATCTTTCCTTTCTTAGGGATGGTTTTCAGTTTTGTACTCAGGAAGTATAATTGATTATTTTCTTCTCTCACTGAAAGAACTCTTTGACAGGCAACACTTTTTTTGGCCCAAAGCTAGAATTTGTAAGGCAATCTCTGTGTGAAAGAACACTTTATGCAACTGTAAATAAACCCTGTGATTTTTTTTCCCTTCTAAAGATCACTCAATACATTGCCTCTGAAGCTCCTGAATTCCCTACCCTGCCCAAAAAGATGAACAATAATCGTAAGTACATTTCATGGAAAAGAATGAATTACTTTTGGGGAAGGTACCCTGACCTGGTGTCCTTTGGGTAACAACCCCCATTGTCCTCATCCAGCATAACTGTGGTGGGTGGACTTGAAAGGAGTTGTAGTCCAACACCAACATCCTGAACGTTATAGGAAGTATTCTTAAGACGCTTATAGTCAATGGGAAATTAGCACACCTGATAGCTACATTCCTACTTTTATTAGTTGTTAACAATTTCATCTGCAGGCTTCAGACACTCTCCCCCTCTCAGTATCCTGGATTATTTCACAGATGTGGTTTGTGCCTTTCTGCAATCTGGATTGATTCATGAAAACTCAGTTGGTGAGTGCCACAAAGCCTTCCACCATTCCAGTTGAAAATATCAAACAAATGAGGTGATTCGGGTCTGGTGAACCAGAGCATCTAGAAAGAAAAGGAACTAGCCAGGACAATTTGGGCACAAAGGTCAGTGCAATTAACAAATAACACAAGACAAATATTTACATTGCCCCAAGTAAGAGGTTTCTCCAGGACTGTTAAGTTTTCACCAGGGAAGGATTTTCCCCTCCCAATTCAGAAAAGCGCCAGAGTCTTTCTCAGAAAGATGAGCCAGAAGGTTTAGGATTGCTTGCACGCTTGAATCTACTGTAATTTCAGCCTAGAGAAACAAGAATAATATTTACACTAAATAAAAACAGAAAGAGACTGGTGGCTTCAACATCATCTTTAACAACAACACGTATCATCATCATCAACTACAGTTAAGCACTTCTTCAACTCCTACTTTTCAGGTTGCTGGGTCAACTTTCATTGGACTTACCCTGAAATTGATGGTAATATAACACCCATCACTACAGCCAGCATGAAATATAATCCTAGACATCTGGGAAACACCAAGTTGGGGAAACATTGTATAATTACAATTTAACGTAAGTTAACTACCATAAGAATAAGGCCAATCTTGGGTATTGTGTTGAAGGAAGGCTGAACTGTAGCACAAGGTTTCTCACTATTGTACATGCAAAGGCCATTCCTTCCATATTTGGACATCTGATGGAGAAGCCAAAATAGGAGCTTTAAAGCTGGAACTATAGAACGTCCAGTTCCTATGTTCAAGTTTGTTCCATCCTGAACATCTGCAGAAGACTAAGGTGTGGCATGAAGCATGGGGCTACTGGGTTTAAAATCAAATCCATGGGCATGAGGTCTTCAGCAGTTGTCACCCACAGTGGACAAGAACAGAGTGTCCATGCACAAAGCAATATACACTGAACGATCATTGCTGGAGGCAAACAATAACTTTCCTTTAGTACTTCTACATTTTCCAGGAGATCCAGTTACAGTTCCACCCAAGTTAAAGAAATGAGTTAAACAGGTTTAATTCCGTTTTGGATTTGGGCCAATTTATATTATCTGCTCTGGGTCTCAGTTGGTCATAAGCTCCAGATATCCCCACCCAACATTATGAATGAGTTTTCAGAACACAAAACCTACCATGCTCCCTCCCATCGTTGTCTGCACCCATCCAGGATGCACTGCGACACACAGAATCTCAACTTCGCTAAATGCCAGCGACTGGCACCGTGTCAGCATATTCAGAGCAGCCTAGAAGGGAGATGCCAGAAGCAGAGAAGTGTACCAGTCAGGCTGCAGGAGCAGGAGGGAATGCATTTTATCATGTGAATGCCAGCAAAAACCTTGTATTTTATTCCAAGTCAGAATGGGATTTGACTTTGGAAGGGGAGGGGTAAATGGATGAAGAAGGGAAGGGAAGGGAAGGGAAGGGAAGGG